GACCGGTCGTACCTACCCACGAACACCAAGGCCGCGTGGTGGGAGGACGAGGCCCGCGTGGCAGAGATGCGTGAAAGGATTGATAAAGTGAAGGAAGAGGCGAAGGAGAAGAGGGAGGAGCGCGAGAAGAGTAGGGCGGCGGCGAAGGAGAAGAAGGGGAAGAGGGCTGAGGGCGGTGATGTGGAGGGTGAGTCCAGCAAGGACAAAAAGCGCAAGAACAAGAACAAGAATCGTCGTGGGCCTGGACATGTGCGCGGTGGGAGCATGGGGAGCTTTGGTGGCGGTGGTGAATTTGGTGGGGCGCCGCAATTCTCGCCTCAACACATGGTATTCCCTATGGGCCTCGGGCTTGGACTTCCCTGGAACGGCGGGTTCGTGTCGCCGGCTCCGTTTGCTGGAGGCGGAGGCGGGTTTGCTGCGTTGTCGCAGTATGATGTAGGGGAGCTTGCGGCGCAGGGAGTCAAGCCGTGGGATGAGGATGCTCAGGTGAGTTTGACTCGACTTTGCCATTGCGTCTGGATTTGAAGCTGACTGGATTCGAAGGACGTGCTCGCTGCGTTGCGTTGAAGAGTGGCTAATCAATTCATTCGCCGCATAAAAGGTGCCCCAGTGCTATATTCTAACTGTTTTGATTTTCATTATATATTCGGTGGATGGATGGATGGAGTGCGTATTGTATATTCGACGATCGTGTCGTGCTTGTCTATTTATTCAACTATCGCGTTCTGTTTTATCGAGGGCTGTGGAGGAGAGAGGGCGTGGGTGGTGCCAGGTTAATTTGTGCGAAATTGTGGATCTTCAACTCCTGACATACTAAAGTCGTCAAAACGGAGTAACATACCCAAGAAGCGCACTCAAAGGAAAACCAAAAAAAACCTGCATTCCAATTGAAAGTGTGTGTAAGCGTATCCATATCCCATCTCATCGTCTCAAGACTTCCACCCCCGGCCAACCCATCACGCCGTCCGTCGTAGGTTTTGTGATTGAAGTAGCAAGTATGGATGAATGAGCCGCTCCCGCTCCCGAGTCCCGACGCATCATTGATCTCACCGACGGCGGAGAGCTGCACCATGTGCGATGATTCCCAGGCAACTGAGAACATGGCGAGGTGCACAGAACCGGAGATAGTGGCTAGCTTCAATTTGAACACGGGATTCGGGACTCGGGAAGATATATGGCAATTTGAATCTAAAAATGGACGGGTGCAACGGTTCTGTTGGCCGCTTTTGATCGGAGTTTCAAATCAACGTTTGATGGCAGTGCGGATGCACAACTGTGGCGTGTTATACCTCACGATCACCGGCGTGTTTCTGACAGGTGAGATGGGAACTGTTCAAAATCACTGCCCCTCCAATTCTGGGCACTTCCGCTGCTTCGGCACACCCCTTTGGAGCAGATCCCTACGTGTAGTAGTAGTACGTATCTACAACTCATCAGGGCCGCTATTCATATGCTGTATGCATGCTGAGATGAGACCGTGCAGCAATCAGTTTGTTTCTAGGGAACAGATGCACGCGAATCTTCGCAAATTGCTCGTTGACATGATGATCTACACGGACCACGCAATTCCGTTGGGATGGAGATGGGGGTTGGCCCATTTGCCGCTGGGGTATAACAGGCAGACGATCGTCCTATTCACCACCCGCCCTTTTTTCATTCGCCTCCCGCAAGCCGGCTTTACCTTTCTCTTCGTTCAGCGCCCACTTGCTCTTCTTTCCGACAAAGTTTATTTTCGTGTTCATCATGCGCTTCTCTGCCGTGCTTGCCATCTTTGCGTCCGCCCTCCTGGCCAACGCTGCAAACATCCCCGTGCGTCGCTTGTATTTCTCTACACACAACCCGTCCTAAAGGGCCACCTAGGCCCGCCGTGCAGAGCCTGAGGCCGAATCGACCTTTGAGGTCCCCGGCTCCGTGCTGAGCCTCAGTTCCGCCGCTCCCGGCGCCGTAGCATCCGCCACCTCCGCCATCGTCAGCGGTTTCAACGCCATCACATCCGCCGCCCCAGGCGCTCTCTCCAGCGCCACATCCGAACTCGCCAGCGGGTTCAACGCCATCACCTCCGCCGCCCCTGGACTCCTCTCCACCGCCACGTCCGACTTGGCCAGCGCGATCAAGGAAGCGACGTCCCTGGCGCCGAGTATCGTGGGGGATGCTACTTCGATTATTGGGGGCGCGGCGGGGGCTGCTGCGAGTGATGCGGCGCATCTTATTGGTGCTGGGGAGCGTGTTGAGGTCGGGAGGAAGACGGTGTTGATTATGGCGCTGGTGGCGTTGGCTCCTGCTTTCGTGCTGTTGTAAATGGAACGAGGGTTGAATTGTATTGACTAAATTATAGATGTAATTTGAAACTGAACTCGGATCTCTGTCAGGCTCAGAATAATAAAAAACCGTTGTCCATGTTCTGACATGAAGGTCCCCGAATCGAACGGATTGCCGGTGGATCTGATTTCTGGCTTCAGCCAAGTTCAGCACACAACTGACCTTCATTGCATACTTTATGCTGCTGTTCAATTAGAGTCACATCCCATTCGATCGTCGGGAACGGGTTACAAAAAAGACGGATGCCGGTGTGGACCCGGAAAGGAGCCCTCCGAATCGAAGTTTACGGAGGTCCTGCAATCCAATGCGCCCGCCAACCCTCGGCGCCAATTGTCTCGGCGCCGGCTCCTGCTTTTATTCCGTTGTGAAAGCATCGAGGAAATGAATGTGTTGTATGTGAGGAAGTGTACATTGGAATTCGGGGAAGGTGGACGTTGACACTGTCTTGGTTTAGAAGCCATGGATTAAGAGTCAATGCGGGGCACAAAAATACAGGTCGTCACCAAGTGCAGTATTGCGAAGATTCCGGATCGAACGGAGGCTCTTAGCAGAGACAATACTTGCAAGCATATATATGATCTCGAATACATTGGCTACTTGTTCAGCGATCTGGTCAATAGGATGGCAAAGGATTCCATGGCATGTGAATGCAAGAAACATGGGACAGAATTAGCAGGGCATAAAAAGCACAAGATTTCAGGCCTGTGGCGCTCCTCCGAATCGAACGGGGTCTCCGTCGAGTGCCGAGCTTGTCCGGCGCGTAAATGAGCCGCAGGCGCCAAGAGTGCGTCCGGAAGGCTCTCACGAAGAGAATCAATCCCAGAAGCTCCACACTCAACTGATTTCGATTGGTTTCAAAATCTGCAGCCCACTGTTCACTTTTGGTAAAAAGGGTTCAAAAGAGTACCAAAAACACCATATTTTGAAAATTGAACTACCCCCGGACGATGGCGCAGTCCGAATCGAACGGAGTCCCAGGGATCAAATGCCTGGTCTGCGCGCACCAAAAGTCTTGCCAAAGAGTTTCAAGAGTCTAGGTTGGGACCCGAGGGACCAAATGACCGGGAAACGAAACTGTGGCCACACAAGTACGGCGTCGACTTCTTGCTGCGAAAGGAGCGCGGGTTTCAGGAGCCAGAACCGGTGGATTCCAGTGTCACCCGGGGACACTGGATCTTACACAACCTTCATTCAAACATATTATTCTGACTCTGCCGGTGACTGTCTATGAAGAGACTTGAAAGAGACCCAAATCACATTCAACAACATTCAACGAGTTGTGAATTATTTGCAAAAGTGAGGCCGTTGCTCGGTAGCCATGGCGCCGTCCGAATCGAACGGCGGTCCGACCCCATGCCTCAGATGGGCCAACTGTGAGCGTCAATGGGCTCAGAGTTAGCTCCTTCGAAGGAGCTAACTACTGATGTTGGAGCTGTAAGGCGGTTTTCACTTGGAATCCGCGGAGAATGCATCGTGAACGAAGTGTCTCCTGATTGCGAAGATGCCGGGTCGAACGGAGGCTCTGCAAAAACAAGGACAGTACAGATATCCAACCTTGCTGATTGTTGTGCGACTGGTGCACATGATAGCAAAGGACTCCATTCAGATCTGGATCCAAGAAATGGGAAACGAAAAAAACAGGCTCAATATTGAAATTCAATGGCGCTCCCCCGAATCGAGCGGGGTCCCGGGGAAGTTGCAGGCTTGTCCAGCGCGTCAATGAGCCGCCGACACCAGTAGTTTCCTTTGCAGCCTCCCTCTCAGGAAGTGAAGCGACGAAACTTCGTAGAAAGCACAATAAAAGAGATCGTAAAAGCCGCAGCAAGCCAGGATGCCGAATCGAACGGGTACTATCCCAGTGAATGTGGTCTCGCGCAAGCTCAGCATAGAACTGACCTTTTCATTGTATTTTCATCCAAGTTTTGCCGAGACTCAACAGCCATTGTTCAGTCCTGGAAACAGGACAAAAAAATTTGTAACCGGCTGGTCAATCAATAATGGCACTCTCTCGGAGTCGAACCGAGATGCACTGCAGTCAAATGCGTGGACCGCGGGGCTCCAATAGTCTTGCAGAAATACCTCAAGTGTACATAGGTACCAATTGGCACCAAAGGCCTAGATACTGTGGCCACATGAGCGCCGAGCGGTTGCCTGGAGCTCAGCGTTCTTTTATCTCGCTAAGCCTGTGAACGGAGCGGATCCGTATTCAAAACGGGTGTCTTCAAATTTGCATCCGCGGACAGGGGGTCTCGATAGCCACTTGACAGCTCCTGCAATAGATCCTCTAAACTGTGTGAGAGAGACCAGAAGAAAAGAAATACTTGCAAGTGCTACAAGGGAGGAAGGCAAAAAATAAACTCAGGAGCCATTCCTACAGTCCCTGGGGAACGAACGGGATTGTATCCCGCCAATTCCCGCGACATCGCCTACAACTGACTTGGAGTGCATCTTCAAAGTTCACAGTCCAAGTAGCTAGGTATTGAACAATCTGCCGAGTTTGTTCCAGTTTGAAGGCAAGGAGAGCTGACCCTCACCACCGGGCGGGGTGCGCTTGATCGTCCATTGCCGGACTCAGCACGTTGTGTGACGTGTTCCTGGCAAATCAACCCACCGGAGAAGAGTCAACAGGTTACTCAGGTTCCCCGCTTGCTTCTCGTTGCTCCCTTTGCCGCCTCCTAGTCGGCTGCTTGGTGTAACGGCTATCACGCCAGATTTTGATGGTGCAATCGTGCTCATATCCATTCTGGCGACCCCGGTTCGACTCCGGGAGCGGCCTTGAGGCACAGAGCGTTTTGTTTTGCCACCATCACCGATGTCACCGATGATACATGATCACACGTCGGAGTCTGAAACACTGCTTGGTCTCGTACCACCATCATCTCCCAAGGTCGCCGCCGTTCCCGACATTCTCGCAGTGTCACTCGTTTCAAGCCTTGTTCCTGCGGATCAGCCGGTGCCAGCAGGTGCCAGCGTTGGCTAGGCGTGGCTTTGGCGTGGCTAGTCTGGCCGCGAGGGATGTGGGCTCTGGGACTTTATGTACGCGCGACAAAACCCGTTCAAAGCCGGTCTCATGCTCCATATCGCACTACGCCTCCTACTCTCCACTACTCTAGATCGACACAAATAAATCGACCATCTTTGCGTCCCTCCGGATGACCCGCAGGATCTACATTGATGTACTCGGGACACGGACGGACATCACCACCGCACGTCATGCATAGCCTCTTTCGCGGGATTCCGAACTTGATCCCGTCGGAAGTCCCGGTGCACATAACACGGGGCGTGGGCTAGGCCCATCAAATTCATTTCCCGCTCTTTTCGTTCTTGCCGCCATGCAAGGCGACATCGCCTTCAACAACGAGCAGCACCAGCAACTCCACTCGCTCGCTCGCACCTTCTCCCCAGAGCCCGAGATCCACCTGCACCTTCCCCTCGAACAAACGACGAGCAACTCGACATGCGTCGAAAATCCCTTTGAGGAGGAGGCTCGCAAGAAGGACCCGTCCGTTGACCCGCGTTCCGACAAATTCGACATCAACGCGTGGGTGCGGTCGTTTATGGATATCACCTCGCGCGACCCCGAGCGGTTCCCTGGGCGCACTGCGGGCGTGTCGTTCCGCGACCTCGACGTCCATGGTGTGGGCTCACCTGCAGATTATCAAAAGACGGTGGCGAACGTGTGGCTTAGCTGGTTCTCGATGGCAAAAGGGTGGTTTGGGATGGGCGGTGGCAAGCATAAAATTCGTGGGTCTTGGACTTTCTTTTTCTTTGTTCGGTGGCTGACAACTGGATGTAGAGATTCTTCGTGATTTTAATGGACTGGTCAAGTCGGGGGAGCTGCTCGTCGTTCTCGGTGCGTGGGCCTGTCTCGTTTCATCCTCCGGTACTGACTCTCAGTACAGGGCGTCCTGGAAGGTACTCAGCTATTTGTCTACGCTACTCATCACTGATTCCTTGACCAGCGGTTGTTCCACGTTCCTCAAAACCATCGCCGGTCAAACGCACGGTACGTCCCGTCCTCACATATCCCTGCAAACCTAACGCAGGCCCAGGCTTCACCGTCTCTCCCACCTCCTCCCTGCAATATCAAGGTATTCCCGCCTCGCTCATGCACAGCTCATTCCGAGGCGAAGTCATCTACAACGCTGAGGTGGACGTCCATTTCCCTGGCCTCACGGTCGGTGAAACTTTACTCTTCGCTGCCAAAGCTCGCGTGCCCCGCACGCGCATCGGGGACGTGGATCGCCGCGTGTATGCCGAAGTCATGCGCGATGTCGTGATGGCAGTCTTTGGCTTGACGCACACGAAGGATACGAGAGTTGGCAACGATTTCGTGAGGGGTGTGAGTGGCGGGGAGAGGAAGAGGGTTAGTATTGCCGAGGCGGCGTTGAGTGGTGCGTGTTCCGTTCTGCCTCCCGTTGACCAACTCACGATGGGTTAGGCGCACCGCTTCAGTGCTGGGATAACTCGACGCGTGGACTTGATAGCGCCACTGCCCTCGATTTCATTCGGACGTTGAAGCTGTCGACTCAGGTGTCGGGGTCCACTTGTATGGTCGCCATCTATCAGCCCTCTCAAGCCGCATATGACGTACGTCTCATTCACTCCTCTCCTTTCCGACCAACTCACCTCGCCTCAGCTCTTCGATAAAGTGATCGTCCTCTACTCCGGGCACCAAATCTACTTTGGCTCCACCTCCTCCGCCAAAGCATTCTGGACTTCCCGCGGCTTTGTTTGCGCTCCGCGTCAAACGACAGGCGACTTCCTCACCTCGCTCACAAACCCCGCTGAACGAATCGTGCAACCGGGGTGGGAGGGCCGCGTGCCTCGCACGGCGGAGGAGTTTGCAAAGGTTTGGAGGGGAAGTGAGGAGTGGTCCACGTTGAGGAGGGAGATTGAGGCGTATGAGAAGGAGTACCCGCTGGGTGGGGACGCGGTGAGCAAGTTCACAGATTCGAGGAGGTTGATGCAAGCAAAGTCGATGTGCGTTTCGATTTCTTTCTTCTTCCCGTGTCTGATGCCTTATCACAGGAGTCCTAAATCCCCGTATACGATCTCGCTGCGGGCGCAAGTTGCGTTGTGCATGGAGCGCGGGATTCAACGGCTCAAAGGGAATTTGACGAACTTATATATCACGGTGAGCTTCCTCTTGACTATCTGCTTCTGCTGTCCTTACTCATTGACGTAGGTCTTGGGTAGCTTTGTCGTCACACTCATGCTCTCGAGTGTGTTCTACAATCTCAAGGACGACACCAGCAGCTTCTTCAGTCGTGGATCGTTGTTATTCTTCGCCGCCTTGTTAAATGCATTTTCTAGTGCCCTGGAGGTGCGTAGCTTGATTGTCGTGGCTCCCCCTTTCATTGACTCGTGTTTAGATTTTTACTTTATACGCACAACGTCCTATAGGTTAGTCGGTGGCTGATCTGTTGGGCGTCGAAGCTGACTTGTCTTGAAGTTGAAAAACATAATGCCTACGCTCTTTATCATCCGTTTGCAGAGGCAATCTCGTCCATGATATGCGATTTGCCCTCCAAAATCGGGACTTCCACTGGTGTCAGCGTTACTGTGAGTTCTCCATCTTTCAGCAAATTCAAGTATTGACGACTCTCAGCTTTACTTTATGAGCAACCTCCGGCGTGAACCGGGCCACTTTTTCATCTTCTACCTCTTCTCGTTCACTTGTACCTTCGCCATGGTGAACCCTCATCCTCTTCTCACCAGGTACGAAATTCATCGACGTACAGAGCATGATCTTCCGTACCGTGGGCTCGGTCACGTTTACGCTATTCCAAGCGCTGACACCCGCTGCGGTGCTCATGACGGGATGGGTCATGTACACCGGGTTTGCGGTCCCGGTGGTTGATATGGTTGGTTGGCTGCGCTGGATCAATTACCTTAATCCTGTGGCATATGCATTCGAAGCTCGTACGTCCACATTCCCATGCAGGAGGGTAATCACTCATTCTCTCGTTAGTAATGGTAAACGAATTCGTGGGACGCAACTATACTTGCAGCGCCTTCGTCCCCGAGGGCCCACTGTACGCCAACGTCTCCGCGGCGAGTCAGGTCTGCAGCACACCTGGTGCGAGGCCGGGTAGCGATTTCGTTCGTGGGGAGGACTACATCGAGGAGGCGTTCAGTTACCAGCATAGTCACCTATGGAGGAATTTTGGGATCCTCATCGCGTTCATCGTGCGTACCTCATTTCTCGGTTCAAGACGGCTGATCTAATTTCAGCAGATCGTCTTCTGTGGCATTCACCTCCTCGCAGTCGAGTACATCTCCTCGTCCAAATCCAAAGGCGAAGTTCTGGTCTTCACGCGGGGGCATCTTCCATTCGTGCGTGCCGACGACGAGGAGAAGGCTGCCGCCAATGAGAGACCCATATCCGTGCCTTCGGACTCGGAGAAACGCACGTCGGACGTGACGATTGCGGCCCAGACCAAGGTCTTCCTTTGGAAGGACGTTTGCTACGATATCAAGCTCAAGGACGGTTCCGACCGGCGTCTTTTGGACCATGTGGCTGGGTGGGTCAAGCCGGGGACTCTGACTGCCCTGATGGTTCGTGTTTGTCTCAGTCACACTGGATCTTTGACTGATTCTTTTTCAGGGTGTTTCCGGCGCAGGTTCGTCTGATATTGCTCTCATCCTGCTCACCAACTGACTCGCACTAGGTAAAACAACTCTCCTGGACGTCCTAGCAGCACGCACGACCATCGGTGTCATCTCCGGATCAATGCTCGTCAACGGCCACCAACGCGATCAATCCTTCCAACGCAAGACCGGCTACGTCCAACAACAGGATCTCCATCTCGCCACCTCGACGGTCCGCGAATCGCTCATCTTCAGCGCCCTTCTTCGACAACACAAATCTGTGCCGAGGGAGGAGAAGCTGGCGTATGTGGAGGAGGTGATCGCGTTACTTGAGATGGAGGAGTATGCGGAGGCGATCGTCGGCGTGCCCGGGGAGGGGTTGAACGTCGAGCAGAGGAAGAGGCTGACGATTGCGGTCGAATTGGTGGCAAAGCCACAGCTGTTGCTCTGTTTTGATGAGCCAACCAGCGGTGAGTGCTCTTCGTTATTCACGAGTTAGTGATTGAGGCGCCGGTAGGATTGGACTCCCAGACTGCGTGGTCCATCTGCCAGCTTATGCGCAAACTTGCGAATCACGGGCAGGCGATTTTGTCAACTATTCACCAACGTACGTGCCCATATGACGATGTTTTCGACTGAAATGTGACTCTCATTGTAGCCAGCGCCATCCTCATGCAAGAATTCGACCGTCTTTTGTTCCTGTACATTTCCCTTCCCTCCATCCGAATTGGCTTTCACACTTGAATGCAGGGCCCCCGGCGGCAAGACAGTTTACTTTGGCGAGATTGGCGAAAACAGCAAAGTCCTCACGGGTTACTTTGAGAAGCACGGTGCCCATCCATGCCCCTCGGAAGCCAACCCCGCGGAATGGATGCTCGAAGTTATTGGCGCTGCCCGAGGCTCGCGGGCCATCCATGATTGGACCGAGGTGTGGAAGACGAGCGACGAGCGCACACAGGTCCTTGCCGAGTATGACCAGATGGTTGTCGAGCTTTCGCAGATTCCGGATGAAGGCAACTCGAACGCTGGCTACGATGTTTTCGCGGTTGACCTGAGGACACAACTTCTGCTCTGTTTCCATCGCGTTTGGTTGCAGTATTGGCGCACACCGTCGTACATTTATGCGAAACTGGTGTTGGTGACGATCTGCTCGCTGTTCACTGGCCTCACGTTCTACCACGC